TCCATCTCCCCAAAGTGGGGGCTGCTGGACGGCAACCCCCGCCTGCAACCCACCTATAGCGAGGACGCTGCTGGCAGCAGCGTCTGGCGCTGCACATAGCAGTGTCCGGGCTGCTGCAACAGCAGCATCCAGCGCTGCTGCAACAGCAGCATCTAACAGCAGCGGCAGCCCCGCCAGCGGTGGCTGCCACAATTTTTTCCTTTTTTTCCCTTAAAATCAGATCCGAAAATACTTTAATCTAAAAAACCAAAATTTTGAAGGAAAATCTTTAATAATTTCAAAAACCATATATATAACTTGCTCAAAACCATAATAACATATTAAATTGAAAATCCATAATATAAATGCTAATTTCATGTATAACATACCGAATTGAAGATCATAACATAATATCATGCTAAATTTTATACAATAACATGAAGATCAAATAACACAAAAATTCAGAATTATAAATCTTCAATTTCTCAAAATTTCAACTATGGAGATGCTCTGATACCACTTGATAGAAAAACATAATATGATTATTGATCAAAACAATAATCAAATCTTAAATTCATAATAATATATAACCATAGATCTTACTCCATGTTGAAATCCAAGAAAGTAACAAAACATAAAAACCATACCTTGATCCATGACAATCAAATTCTTAGCCGGATAGATTAGGATCTTCCAAATGATTGATGATCTTCTCTTAGGTTTTGCTCTCTATTGATGGGGATGTAGAGTAGCTTGAAAAACACCAACAAATGGGGACCATAACCATATAAAATAATAGTAGTAACTCAATAGTCACTATCTTTCAGTTGCTTCAAATTGACCCCTCATCAATTTAAAACAACACTCCGGTATCTACACTATAATTCCATGAAATCTAATACCCATTAGTCATAATATATCTTTATCGGATCATTTTAATTGACTAATATCATTTAAATAATAGCACCACACATTTCAATTTACAACGTGTGGCCCCATATATGTTGAAATTATCCAACATATACTACATGCATTATGGCTACAATTGTTGATCTAAAGGTGGCCCTATAATTGAGGGATTGCAGTGCATGATTTTCTGCCCATAATTTTCTCCTTTAATGGCTCAAAGAACAACTCACGCCAACAGCTTTCCCTCTTAATCTTGTGATGTTACACAAGGAGAGAGCAGCTCACATGGTGTACCAAGCACTAGTTGTAAATTCATTTAAGAAGCATCATGTAATTAGGAATGGTAAAATGGCTCTCCGGCTCGGGCAGCTCATGGCTCAACTCAGAAAAGCCCGAGCAAGCGAGCCCGCCAGCCTGTGTCACGGGCCGTTTTGGCCCTGAAGAGTCGAGCTCGTTTGAAAAAAAAATTAAAAACAACAGCTATAACTTGTAGGAAGGAAAAAAATAAAAAAAAATGAAACAAGTCTACACATTTGACAAGAATTTTAAAAAAAAAAACTGACATGGCTCAGCTCGACCCGCTAAAGCTCAGCTCGTTGACATGGCTACATGTAATACATGACTAGAGGCATAATGGTGGGCCTAGCCTCATTTCCCATAGACCACAAGGCCACCAAAAAATGAGGGCCGAGCCAGGCTTCTACTAGACAATTCGACTTGTTTTACATTTGTACACGAAAAACTAATCAAAACTTTCTAATCGAACTAACACTTTCATTATGTACATGTTTAGAGCGTACAAGATTAACATGTCCAACATGCGAGGGGGTAAGGTGATGAAACTTGTTCCTTATCTAATAGCTCATGTATTTTGATGAAGTAGTCAAGAACAATTTTTGTTGAACATTGTCTTTCATTACCACATTTTCGAAATTTGTAGCTATCTTCATTAAGAGGTTCAACTCCAAGACTGGTACCAAGTCAAATTACCTCAAGTAGTGATCCAGAAGTTGAAGCTCCACAAAGCGTTCAAGAAGTTCAAGACTCTGGATCTAGTCACTCTGGTTCAAGTGTAATATATATTTTTTTAAAATAAATTATCTAATTCTCTTTTGCATGTATGGAATCTATGTTGATTCTCATAAAGATGAAAATGTATTAATGCAGGAACAGCAACTCAACCTCAACATCCAGAGCTTCGGTTCTATAGATATGTTATTTGCACATATATAAAATTAGGTGATGCCAGCTTTTCTTAGTAGACAGCCTTTATCTACTTGAAAATGAACTGATGTGGGACCAGCATTGTTCTGGGAATTGAGATCCCCTTTTTTTTCTTCTTCTTTTTTTTTTTTTTTCCTGGACATATATCTACCTTATTCTTGTACATACTTAATTTAAAATTCACTAACAAATATAAAAAGATTAACATCCCAATTACTTTATTTTGATTATGCTGCAAGAACATTTAACAATAGTCACACTCATCTGTATATATATTTTATTACTTAAATTGTATGGAAGTATTGCTAATAGTAAATTGCAAGTACAATTAAACATCACTCCTTTCCATACAGCCAAAAATATTTTAGTATAGATCAAAGATTTAGGCCATTAAGTTTACTTCAATCACACAAGTCTTCGTGGATTACGAACGCTCAGCAGCTTCACGTCGTCGACGACAGGGCCACAAAGCGAAGCAAAATCTTTACTGCTTGTATGGTAGTACGTGCTAAAGAACATGACACGGGTTCTAATTGCAACGGCTTTAAAACGAAGCACAGCACGTTTATACCCACCTTTGCCCTTGGATTCATAAGGAACCTTAATAGTGTCTCTGCCGGCAAATGCTTCAACAATCATAGATCCTTCACAAGAGTTGCTAGCATCTCCTATGGCAAATGTGAGTTCATAAGTTTTCCCAACAATGGTCCGCGCCACTTGTGCAATGGCACTTTCCTTTCCACCAACGAGTTCGATTGCTCGTTTGCCTTGTGGTACCTGATAAAGAGTAAATATAAATAAATAAACGAATAAATGTGTCCATTTCATAACAACTTAAACTTTTAGGTGAGGTAGTTCAACAATACCGAAAAATGATCAGAATCAATGTATTTGACTGCTTTGAGAGATTCAACCATCCAGGCTGGTAAAGGAGAGTTATCATCCTCGATGTTAGGTGGGATAAGGACACCCCAACTTGTGTTAGGCAATATATAAGGACCTTCTTCGAAATCTGCATTCTTCAGTAGGTTTTCTGCATAATGAGGAAATCTATTAATTCAAATAAGTACTGCCAAAAGCGTGGAAATTTTTAATCAGTAAATAAGAAAGTCAAATGTAATCAGACTGAATCTTAATCTCAGTAGTGTATTTTCTTCCACAATTAAAGCTACAAGTACATTAAATGAATAAATTTCTCCTTTGCTTTTAGATGAGGTGATTCAGTATGAGATCAGAACCAAGAAAGATAATGAGTTCAAGGATTGCCAACACCAGAAATGCACTAAACATTTCACAAAAGAAGATGCAGTCTGCATGTGAGGAGGTGGTTGAAGACTATTTTTAATGAATAAATTTGTCCCAAGCTCTTAAAAGAGTGTGGTCTAATAAAATCGACTCCAAATAGACCATGCATTAAGGGATGGATGTTGACAATCTGAATAACTGTAACCAGAGAAATAGTTACAGAAAATATATTGCTTTCCTCTTTTTAATTTCTTGAATGATTGAAGAAAATTTCCGTTCAATGTACCCCAAAGAGGGGTATAAATGGACCAACAATTTGTTTCATGGGGCCTTCAGAAACTGGAGCCAGTTATGCAGGCTTTGATGTTGATATGTAAATGAGTACAAGGCAGTAATCATGCATTAATGATGCAAATTGCATAGGGCGGCTAGCTTAAACCAAAGGTTATATTCTGCAAACCACCCTGTATTAGTGAAGTTGATCATGGGATTAGAAAATGTCTTTCTAGTCCTAACCAGACGACAAGCCTTTATATAAGATAAAAGAACGAAGCGTCCCCAGTCGATATCAACTAAACTTTTTTTCAATCAATCAGAGCATATCGGACGATTATACATAATTCATCTAATCGTAGTTCATTGCATGTGAATCTAAAGTTCATTTTGAAAGATGCACATGGACATCATATGTACAAGTTGGACCATGTGATGTAGCTCACAGAAAGAAATGAACACGAACATATATTCTGAGTGGTCCAAAAGGTCACTCAAAAAATATCAGGGTAAAAAAAGCTCCGAATTCCAGAACTTAACATTTTGAGAAAGTAACTTCAAGTTTTAAGCAAACTTAATGTCATGCAAAAGTATGTCGCTAATACTAACAAGCTCCCAAGTATAAGAGTTCAAGAAGTAAGTTAACTGAGTACATTTTTGATATTGCACTGATCCAATATTAGGCAAAGATATGGAAGATAAACAAAGCAAAGATATGATGAACTCACTATTAGTTGGTTTGGGAGGGTAAAGAGCTCGAATGGCAATTGAGTCAATCAGTGGACCACAAGCTGGATCTTCCTCAACTCCAGGATTGAGGAGTATTATCACAGCCACGCTATAGGATGCTCGAAATGCCCAAGCATACAAGTCCCAACCTTCACTATTATACACTGTTTGAATTGGTAGCACACCAGAATCTGGTGCCACGGACACGTTCAGCTTCTCGTCTTGTGCACACGTACGGGCAGCAGAGAACGTTAACGAATAGTACATTCCTGGCGTAACATTTAATTTTTGCTTTATTGATGCCTCGTTTCCTAACCTAACTGCAGCATAGCCCTCAGGAACCACTAGCAGCATGTCACCTTGCTTTTGCCCTGCCTTTATGTACTCAACAAAACCAGAAATTTCCCATTCTGGGATTGCATTGGATTTTAGTACTACTGTTCCTTTCATGTCCGAAGACTTGGGTGCATTTTCAAAGTTGCCATTGCCTAGTAATCCTGCGAGAATTCACACTATTATTGTCATAATCGCATTGAACAACATTGTACTCGCACTCTGGTAATACCGGTATACTGCAGTAGGTCAATTATGCTTGTTAAAAGTTCATGTCAGGATTAAAAGCATCTTGGATTGCTCTGTAATCATTTTAGTAGCCTTTCGGATTTTCGATGGGCCCTTTCAAAAGTTGAACTATGAAGCACAAATATGCCAAAAACTGTGCGCTGTGGGTTGGCGAGAAGCCAAAGGATAATGCTACAGTGTTCTCGGATAATTTAAAGTTGCTATGGCAGATCTAGAAATGAACTAACTTAATGGAGGAAAAAAAATGATTCATGTAATCGATTGTCCCCAAGGCCGAGGCAGGGGTCTTGGCAGAAGTAGTGCTTATCAATGCCGAGTAGAGACAATCAAGCCCTCAAATTTATCGAAAAGGAGCCCCATGACACTGAACCCTCAGCCTAAGGTGTTGAGATTCATATCCCTTAACATCAAACGGTTTACTCGAATACATAGTGCTGGTTTTTACGTACTATAGCTGTAAAAGGACTCAATTTCTTAGTCTCTATAATTTATTCTTGTTAAATCAAGAATTAGGCCTATTTGATTGCAACGAATTCCATGAAGAATGTCACATATGAAGAAAACGAATTCCACTTTGACCATTTGATTGCAACGTAGAAATGGAAACCGAATTCCAAGATACAACCACTTTAAACTGCATTTTCTTTGTTTTCATGCAAAACGAATTCGTTTGAGTTTGATGGATTTTTATTTTCCAACTAACATGTGATTGGAATTTCTTTCCTTTGCCTGTCAAACCGACTCTTAGAGTTATGTTATAACACTAAATTTTGATTTTTCCAGTCATTAAAAGGATAAGTCCTCCTAGGACAATCCAAGAACAACATTATCATTATCAACAACAGAGATTGAAACGTCCAGAGCTGGTAAATATTCAGATTGTTGAAGACCCAATTGAACTAAATTGAAACTGTCTACACAATTTGTGTTAGTCTGTAGTACTAGAAACAGCACATTGGACAGGAACTTAAGAAAAATGCTCTAAAGGACAATAGTTGCATTTTGTTACGTTTGATGGAAATAAAAATCAAAACCCAGACCAGAGAGACAGACAAATATGTAAAAAAAGAAATATTTGTGAACTCACCATCAGTAAAGGCTAAGGCAAGGTGGCTGGTAGCCGCACAAAACAGCACCAACAATACGACGACGCTTCCCATTCTTGAACTTCTCTGCATTTCAGTAATGATTTCAAATGGAGGTTCAGAGGGTCATTTTATGCATGTCAAACTTTAAAAATAGCCATACATTTCAGCATAATTACATTGGTGATAATGACAGAATATAGGCTTCACATGTGACGATTTTGCCCTTCTGAGTAGAAATCTGATAATCAGGGAAGTGATGACAAAAGCTGATAGTAGTCAGTCAGATGAATTTCACTCTTACCATGCTCATACTTAACCTTTGTTTGGACTCAATTAGTATTTTTTTCTCTTATTTCTCATTATACATTATTCAATAAAATATTATTATACGTAAATTCAAAGTTTTTCTTATTTTTTTTATCATACATTTTTCAAAAAATCACTATTCCAAAATATATTTTCTCCAAAATTTACTTTTAATGGAACCCAATCAGAGGCTTAGCATCCAAGACCTCTACAGGATTTTCTTGTTTGGTTTTTTAGGCATGAAGACAATGTTTTGAAAATCAGGTCAATCAATGAAATTCAATTAAAACTTTCAAAAATTGTAAACCGACTTGGTATTATTTTTGTTTAAATTTGATTTAAATAAGAAATATTTTTTTCTAGTATGGTGAAATTGAATTGATTAAGGACAAAATGTGGTTTGAATAAAAGCATATTAACAAGAACATCAGCCACAAGTTCACTATACAATGTTAAAAAAGACTCATATAACTAAAAAATAATAGCCCTTTTTTATTACTGTTTAATGTACGTTAAACACATCACATGCGTATTTCAAATAATAATATTTGGTCTAGATGTGTATCAATTCATTTGATATGACTTCATTAGACATGGCTTGTGATTTCAAGTATATAGTCATAACTAATTGTATTTTTCTCGACGTTAATTTTTTTACATACTCCATATCTCTAGTGTGTGAAATTATTATATATCTATATTTGCTTACTTTATTATTATTATTATTATAAACGTTTTGGTATGTTTGATTTTGAAGTTTGGTAGAAATCAATTTTATTTTTGTTCTAATCAAATTATCCCTGTGAATCCGCGGGACAAGTGCATGTTCTTTATAAGAAATTGAGGTGACGTGTTTTGCCACTATGCTTCCAACTAATACTACAAATATTTATAAATACAAAACACCCAGAAAATCAATCAATGCTTGCATAATGTTACATTGATCAAGAAAATTGGGTCTTTCTCCTTAAAGCACAAACATTTGAATTCAATGCCCCGACCTGCATTATAAAATATTCACATTCTCGTTTACACCTTCACTTACAAATTTACACTTGACACCATCTCACGCCATTTTCTACAAAAAAAAAACACATTTCTTCCAATCACTCATCTCCCGTCACATACACATTTGTAAGCCAGGACATAACCATTTTCTATACAAATGGCTTTACCCTAAAATATTTCAAGTTGTTCAAGAAACTTCAAATGACACCATAGTATAAAACCATGAACAACGATATTTTAGTATAGCATAGGATAACGATTCTACGTGAATACCTTAAAATGTGTGTTATTGTGATATTGGATTTCATATGCATACATGCCCAAACTGTCTAATAGGAATGTTAATTTTTGTTCTCTTTTTTAGACAGCAACTGAAAAGGTGAATACAAAATTGACAATCTAGTTCAAATTATTCAACTCGTTCTAGAAAAATAATAAATTAACATATTTATCGAAAACGATATGTTGTTGATGTATCTTTTTCACTTTGATGTATCGACATTTTTGTTGCATGCTGCGTGTGGAAAATGCTCGATCAATTTTTTTTTAGTGGAAGATAATTCTAATGGAAAAGAAATAAGAAAATGAAACTAAAGAACAAATTTGATCTTTTTAAGGATCAAACGCCATAAGTTCAATAATTTTGGAGTTGACAGGGTTAAAGGAACATGTCACGAGACTAGTGGGCCCTGCCATTAGTAAAGGGCCCACACAAAGAGTTAGATTGAAAATTCAGCTGACCCAGTCCAAAACAGAGATCATGGGTTGTTTTGGGGCTTTCTTGAGGGGGCCAATGACCCATTAGAACGTGGGCCGAGAATGAACCTCAGCCTCATCATCTTTTCTTTCTCGTTTTTCTCTATGTGGTGGCGGTCGACGAATCTCTATTTTTTTTTAGATGTGTAAATTTGGTTGAGTTTGAGATAAGTTGGTTTGTCAATTGGGCGTTTTAAAAGAATGCAATTTTGTACGAGCATTTTTTATTTTATTTTTTTAAGAAATTGGGACAATTCACAGACACGCTAATAAAACAAACATATACAACTTTTATTATTCTCAATTTTTTTTCTTATTTATTTTTACTTTATCTTTTATGGTACATTGTGCAAATTGGTGTATTCATACTCCGCTAGTCTATTCCGACCTCCACAGCTATTGGTACTATCACTTCTAACAAATTATGTTACACTTTCCGTCCCCGTGTTTCTACTGTTGCTATTACTCATAACTATTTGTGTTTAATCACGCTACATGTACATTATGGATGACATTAAGTTTGAGATTCTTCCATATGTCAACAATATACACCATTGATTTTAGACACATCCATCCCATCATTGGAATGGTGCTGGCGGCGTGTAGGAAATGAAGATGGAAGAAGGAAAAGAGAGAGAGAGAGATCACGACGGTGGTCTTGACAGTGGTGATAGATCCTGCTTTGGTGGGCTCTACCAGCGTCGTGGCAGACAATGTTGTTTGTGTGCGTCATATGAAATGTGTGGTTAAAATTAACTTAAATTTAAATCAAATTTTTTTTAACGATACTGAACAAGAGCTAAATTCATTTGTCAGTAATCATGGAATTTTGAAACTTGTGGGAATGTATAGCATAATTTCCTCTTAGAAAATCAGTAAAAAACATGAAAGAAAATTGGAAAAACTTTTGGTTCCAGTGGCCTATTGGGTACAAAATGCTCGTGCTATTGAGCCCCACATGACAAGCACCGGGGCACTGTGGGCGCGTTAGATGGACCCTCTTTACATCTCATTTTAATTTTAATTTTTTTTTTCGAATTTACGTGAAAACACAAATAGCAGATGCCACTTGTAAACCACTACCTTCATTGTAGCCGGAAGACAAGTAACATTATTTAGTTCATTTTGTAATATTCAACAAAACTTATTCACATCACAAAGATATAATTATTGTACATGTGTTCTACACTGGAATGTTAAATTTTAAATAAATATATGTGTCATATAATCTAACAACTTAGGGTCTGTTCAGTACAGCTTAAAATCCAATTAAAATTGAAAATATGACCGTTATTGGGTCTCACTCGTCTAATAAAAGTCAACACTAAAGGCTAGTTTTTCAATTTTAATCCAATTTTAATCTCTACTGAATACGCCCTTAAACTTTGAGAATAGATGGTCGACAAAAGTCAATCCATACTAATATTCAGTGCAAAATTTTGCAATAAAAATCTCTTTCTTTAATTAGCACATGTTTGGGAGCCATTTTGGCAAATGCAGAATGTATTTTTTTATTGTTTCAACAAGTAGGTGGGACCCAGACAAAATGTAATTTTCGGCAGTAGATGCTGCACAAGCTGCAAGTCCAGTATAACGACTAGAATTTTCTAAAAATATGATACAAAATGGCTCCCGAACATGGGCTTAATGACAATAAGATTATCTTATATATCCCTGTTATTTTCATTATAGAATAGAAGTTAGAAGAATCTAATACGCTTCTAGACATTTGACATGTGAAGTTCGCCTTTCCTTCCAATTGAAGCATATGAAGATGATGAGTGAGATCAACAACTTTTGCTCGACTCAAGTTATTCGATTAATATGGCGCAGTAAGAACTATGCTTTTAAAGAAGTAACAATTGATTAAATGTTATAAAAATAATAATTTTATAGTAATAACTAAAAACGAAAAATTAAAAATATTAAATTTCACTCATTTATTACTCGAGAAGAGATAGTTACACGACTTGGTCAATTTAAAGGCCGGACTTTGTAATTTGTTGTTAACGAACTCGATATTTAGAAAGTTTGAATTGCAATGTAGCTTAGCCTTGCTTTAATTCTCAAGTTGAACACAAATAAACTTAAAAATCTATTCGATGTGTTTGATATATTGAAATAGCAAAACTAATGAGGATAGATATGTTAAAACATTATTTGTAAATTCAATATAATCTACCAAACATGTGATGGCTAGTTTGTGAGTTCTAACCTTAGGCTTTTGGATTGGGCTTTATCTGTGGAAAGGGACACAATACCAAATCAATGTAACATAATAAAAGTGGATCTTATGTTAAGACACATGCAGATTTCTCACGTGGGTCTCCTTAAATGCACCGGTCTCCAAATATTCCTATCCCTCTTGTTATTGCAATTTTTTTTTATCATTGAAATACTTCTTAAATGCACCGGTCTCCAAATATTCGTATCCCTCTTGTTATTGCAATTTTTTTTTATCATTGAAATACTTCAAATAGTTATTATATTTATTGACCTTGGAATTTAATAGGATCCCAAAGCGTCGACATATCATGCTTCAGCCCTTCTTCAAACGTATGTTACATGTGCACCACTAATTCACGCTTTAGACTAAGGGTGACAATGAGTTGACCTGAGACGGTCCATACAACCACGACCTCGATTCGATCCTAAGCTCATGGGCCAAGTCAAGCTCACGAGCACCTCGTTTTTTGATACATTTTTGTGAAAACCCTCATCCTTTATTCAGATTTGGGACCGATTATTTTTAACACAGGTAGAATTAAAATTGTACATGAACAACTTGTTACGTATGTCGTTTTTTACGAAGTAAACAATAATATGAAAAATACAAATTATAACAAACTCAAATATCATTAGTTCTTCAAAACTTAAGTAAGTCTAAACCTATTTCATCTATTGATTCTATCGTTGCAGGCATGTCATGAGTAAAATATCTAGCTAATTATACCGGTGTTCCACCTTCACTTACATTTGATGTACTTCAATTGTAGGAAAAC